ACGTTCATCTCTTTCTCACATTTGAACGGGAGCAGGGGACGCAAAGGTGATATGCAAATGGGTCTATAAATTTTCAAAAATTTTTTTTAACAACGATTTTGTTAGAAAATATTCAAAAAAAAATAACGGTAACTATATTTTTATACAAATTTTCAGAAAATATAATTTTTTTTACCTTCTTCCCTTTTTTAAATAATTTCAAATCCCATTTTAATTCCCAATTTCTATAAATCCCTTATATTGCTATTTTATTATTTTTATTTTTATCTTAGCTTAATAAATTTTGAACATTTGAATCTAAATTTAACAAGAGTTTAACCGGTTTTTTTTTTGTTTTATTCTCCTCCACGTCGTCGTTGAAATCTTGCCTCGAAACTTGTTTTACATGTCGCCATTACACGACTTTTAATCCTACAGAACGTTTGTCTAACTTGTTAAATGTGTTTAGCGTATATATAGCGACTTTAATATTAATTTTAATAAGTAATAATTATGAAGTTGAGGTTGATTACAATGTTGGTTTCTTAAATTTTGACTGTAAGTACTTTTCATACATTTTTTGTGTTTTCAATTTTAATATTAACTTATAAGATTTTTTAAATTATTCCGAATTTAATTATTATATATTTCATTTCTTGTAGTTTATCTCTGAAGATGGATTTTTAAACCGAAAATACTCAGATAAATAAAATTTAATAAATGACCAGTTAAAAGTACAGAAGTATCACATTTAATTTCAAACCTTAACGATAATACTGGTAAAATGGATTACGTACTTAATTTTAATCATCTTAATAATTATATCAACTTGATATTGGTACAGATTTGGATAATTCTAAAAAATTCGTATTTCAATTCTCTTTTAACAAGCAACGTTGAATATGAATCACAAAAGAACGAAACAATATGTCGCAAATCCAATTTTGCTTTGTGTATTATCCAAAAGTTCATTAATAAAAGTCAAAAAAATGAAATGAATTGTGCTAGTAGGTAATTTGGTTGAGAAATATTATTAAAAATGAATCGATTATTCCTAATACATTTAATCTGCTGACTAAATTTAATTCAACTTCCGCCATAGAGGACAGTCACGCCCAAAACTTGTGTGTAGGTGCTGTTAACAAGTACGAAATCCGAGCGTACACGTTGGGTATTATATTTTTTTCGACGCGCGGAATTACCAAGTGCGCAACATAAATACACGGAGGACAGCCGAAAATGTTCAACCGACTATAAATTTCCACAGTCCCGTATAAGCCAAATGTGGGTCGCACCGATAACTGGCTTATTAACGCCCTTTGAACACTTTGTTTCATCAATTGGTGATGGTGTTGTGATATATTTTGGCGTATATTTCATTAGAATATGCGATATAACTTTTGTCCTAATATATTCTCCCTACAATACGTTTACAAGTACACATTGTCAGTATACCTAGTACTTGAAAGTTTCGGGTTTATCCGTGCGTCTTCAGACGCTTATTTTGAAGTTCGTAATTCCACCGCTAGGGGGAGTAAATTCCCGCTATCTCAGAAAGTTAGACGATGAGCTATAACTTTAGCAACATCATTTAGTAGCTTGGATAATACTGCATCGCTTGACATAGAGGGAGCGTTTGACAAAACCACCTTTAATAGCATAAGCATGGCACTGGAATCTCGAAGAGTGCAATCGGTCATCGCGGGCTGGATTAAAACAATGCTAGCAAGCAGAGTTGTTCAGACTAAGGCGAAAGGACACACAGTACAGAGAGCTGTGGTTAAGGGTTGCCCACAAGGTGGGTTACTCTCACCGCTTCTCTGGTGCTTAATAATTGATGATCTCATTCGTGAGTTAAATAATAAATATCTCTTCACAGTTGGTTACGCAGACGACGTGGCTATTTTGTTAAGAGGTAAACCTGACAATTTTCTTTGTTACAGAATGCAGCAGGCACTTAAACTCGTTGAACGATGGTGTGAAGAACATACCCTCTCTGTCAATCCTAAAAAGACAGAGACTGTTCTCTTCACTAAACAGAAGAAACTGGGACACTTAACGCCACCCAATTTCTGCAATAATCCATTAACCTTTGCTCCAGAGGTGAAATATCTGGGTGTTATCTTGGACAAAGGACTAACTTGGACATCACACATTAGTTGCAAAATCAAAAAAGCAACGATTGTACTGACCCAGTGCCGAAGGGCTATTGGGAATACTTGGGGATTAAATCCGAAAGTTACAATGTGGATCTACACTTCTGTGATAAGACCCATGGTAGCTCACGGAGCCATAGTCTGGTGCTCAGCACTAAAACATGCATATAAAGCTACATTGCTGCATCAATTGCAACGACTGGCCTGCCTGCTAATCACACGCGCTATGTGATCTACACCTACGATTGCAATGGAGACTATGTTAAACGTGCTGCCCCTAGATATTTTTATCAGGGAGGTGGCCGTGATAGCATTGCTTCGGTTGCGATCAGTAAATGAAAAGCAGGTTGTTAAAATGGAAATAGTCCGGAGCAAGCTCTGGAGTGAGGCTGTTAGTAAACAACCCCTCCTTAAAGCTCGCACAGACTACATTACACCTACTTTCTTAGGCATGCCACACTTTGGCATTGAAACGATACCCCAGAGTAACTCATGTTACTGATGTCATTCACTGATGGATCAAAGAAGGCTGGAGGTTCCGGAGCGGGAATCTTCTCGCACGATCTCCAGCTGCACCTTTCCACTTCGTTAGGATCGTATTGCACGACTGCTCAAGCCGAATTAATTGCTATAAATATAGCAGCCGATGCGATTATCGACTCCAAAAAAGTCGGCAGAAACGTTGTAATCTGTGCTGATAGCAGACAGGCTATGCTGGCGGTTGGTAGGCATCATACTGCATCATCGTTGGTGAAGTCCTGTCGGCAATCACTCGAAGAGGCAAACGTATACAACAACGTCACGATAAAAGGGCGAAAAGGACACATCGGAATTAAAGGACATGATGAAACGGGCGGCTAACAAGTCACCGATTTCCCCTGAACCGTTTGTACCACTAGCTGTTAATACAGCATCAAAACTGATAAACTCCATCTCCCACCGAGCTTTTTGCGATAGATGGGATGAGACAGCAGTAGGTGCCTTTGCTAAGAAAACTTTGCTCTACCCTGACCGGAAGACATCTACTCAGTTTCTGGGAAAATCGAAAAGTGACTTGAGGCTTCTCACCCACATCCTGACCGGACACTGCAGGTTACGTAAGCACATGTATTACATGAAGCTGGCGAATACACCCCTCTGTAGAGGGTGTGAAATGGAAGACGAGACGGTAAGTCATACTGTTTGTGACTGTCCAAACCTCGTGTACTTAAGGGAATCTATTTTCGGAGTACCATGGCTCCAAATTTCAGATATAAGGAACATACCTTTCTGTTCTATATTAACGTTCATGAAAAGATTGGGCTGGTTTTCTGACCCTTGAATGAACAGTAAACTGTGGGGACGTACAAAGGGTCCGCTAGGGCCTAAGTGCTGTGAGTAACTCACCCCCACGTGAAACTACATACATACATACTGCATCGCTTTTGTTTTCCAATATTTCTCATATCTGTCATAATAAGGGAGAGGGACGCCAATGCATTTTCAAATGTTTACATTTTAATATCTCATGGACCATTCAACCGATTTGAATATTTTTGGTTTTGTATGAAAGAGCATTTTATGCTCTTTTAAAAGATATTTTCAGTAATAGATGTTGTCAAAGTTATAACTCATCGTCTAACTTTCTGATATAGCGGGAATTTTATGTTTCTCTACGTATGTTCTAGTAAAATCGGAATCTATGTTCTAGTATGTGTAATACTAGAACTAACACTATACCTAGAACTAGAATCATTCGGGTTTAGCCATCTTTAGAGACGTGTGGCTAAACCCAAATGATGCTAGTTCTAGGTATAGTGCTAGTGTAAAACTAGAACTAACACTAGACTTAGAACTAGAAACATTCGGGATTAGCCGTCTTTAGAGACCTGTGGCTAAACCCAAATTATTCTAGTTCTAGGTATAGTGTTACTTCTACATAGTAACAGTGCTAGTGTAAAACTAGAACTAACACTAGACCTAAAACTAGAAAGTTTCGGGGTATGGTTTTATCGAATCAGACGCATGGTTTTAGCCATGCGTCTGATTCGGCTTTAGCCGTCTTATGAGACGCACGGCTAAACCCGAATATTTTTAGTTTTAGGTCTAATGTTAGTTCTAGTGACAGTGCAAGTGTAAAACTAGAATTAACACTATACCTAGAACTAGAATCATTTGGATTTAGCCGCACGTCTCTAAAGACGGCTAAATCCGAATGATTCTAGTTCTAGATATAGTGTTAGTTCTACATAGTAACAGTGTTAGTGTAAAACTAAAGTTAACACTAGACCTAGAACTAGAAACATTCTAGTTCTAGGTCTAATGTTAGTTCTAGTTTTAATTGTTATGCAGCGCTAGATTCTTGTATATTTTTATTGAACTAAAAGTAGAACTAAGACTAGACCAACAACTAGAATAATTCGCGTTTTGCCGTGCGTTTCTTAAAACAGAAACTCAGAGTTATCATAAGGACATCACCTTTTCCCAGCAAAACTTTTCCTTTACAAAACTACCCAATGCCTATACTACTAAGCTATGTTGCATTTTATGCTTAACAGTGCAAATGTATAGCAGTTTCATAAAACATAATAAATTCCCGGTAGTTATAACCTTATTACCATCTAGAAATAAAGCGTAAAACATTGATAACGAAACATTAATTTTTCATACGTGAGTAAATCACAGTAAAAGTGATGTTTTTAAAAACGCGTATATCGTATTTCTGTACCGTGCGTATCCGAGTGTAGAAAGATAGAACAAGTGTGTCCATTTTGTACAGCATTTTTATTTCCATTTGTTTTTGAGATATTTGATATTTATAACAATCAAACTTGCATGGTTGGATTTAAAAAATCGTAACAACGATATTTATGGAAATAAAAAAATTATTTATGGCACTTTGATTCTGCGCTAAATTTGCTTTAAAATGCTGTTAATTTTGTCGTCACAATTAATGCATCAATGAAGTCTTGTTACCTTTGAAATAAGTTTTACCATATTTGGGTGACAATATACATACATCAACGTCATGTCTTTAGAAATTGGTAAAAGCGATCATGCTAATTTCCACATAAATAGAGTGGACGCTGGATTCGGCGATGATTTGCGGTCCGATGAAAGCGAAGTGCGTTTTTTATTTTAATTCGTTTAAATAAGTAATACTAAATTGAATTTTTAGGCGTCGTATGAACCATTATGTTCGTACGAAGATGTTAAAGATTTCGTAACATTTTTAACTTATACTACCGCGTGGTTATGCCTGTCTACTTCTAGTAGTGTTATTCTATTTTCGATAGTTTTATACAAGGTAATTAATGCTTTTATAAATTATTTTTTTAATTAAATTGTTTTTCTACAGTATGTTTTTATGGAACACGATAACCCTTTATTTTATACAGTTATAATCTTTTGCGATATTATAATACTCATGGAGTTTATATCGGTGTTAGGTTTTATGTATTATAATCAAACTGCGAAGAAAAAATATGTAACCCATCGAAATAAGGCGATAATGATTCTGGATTTGGTTTCGGTCGTAGCTGTACCCATGACACTGATTGGTACCAAGAGTCAGGTTGTGTTTATTTTGGAGATCGTTATATTGAGTTTTAGAAATTATCGTGTTCTGAATTTAATCGGTCAGAATTCTTTTGATACATTTTCAACTTTTTTTATTCTTTGTTTTATTATAGCCGTTTTAAGTCGGAGTTCTGGGCACAACACTTTATTATTTTTATCGTTTAAATACTGTTTGATGTCATTTTTAATATGGCACGTCTACGCTTGTTTTTGGATGTCTCTTAGCTGTTTTGAATGGCACAAGAATTGTAATCCAACCACATCTTGGACCATGTCTCTTAAAAACATCAATGAATACAACAGTTCGGATCAAAAATTACTCAATTACATCTCCAGTATGTTATTCGCAATTAATACATATACAACTGTTGGGTAAATATATTTTTTAATTAAATTAAATTAATAAAAATTAATTAAAACTTTTTAGTTTATTTGGTGCATCAAGAGCGAACGATTTAGAACAATTATTAACTATAACGTTAATGTTGTTAGGTTTATACATAGCAAATGGATTATTTATAGGAGATTTTACGTCGGTTCAACAAGAAAGTTACCGAAGGCATTCGATATTTTCATATAAATTGAACTTAATTTACAATTCGTTAGCGAACGACACGATTATAACGAAAAAACTAAAGAAAAAGGTGAAAGATTTTTATATAACCTTTTGGAAGAAAAGGGCCGCTATTAACAAATCGCAACTTTTCGAAGAAATGTTACCAATGGCTTTGCGAAGTCGAGTACTTGTAGATAAGTACTGGGACGCTATAAACGCAGTATGTAACAGTAAAGATAAAAAGAGTTTATTTTATACCTCACGTTATATTTTTGAAATTCTAGTCCAACTTACTTCGAAACACGAGTATGCCGTTTAAAAGGGCTTTGGCTTTACAATTTTTTTCTGAGATATACACCACCGGTGATATTATATACACCCAGGACAGGGTGAAAAATGTTCTCATGTTCGTCGCCAGGGGATCAGTTCAGGTTCTTTCCGGCGATGATACCGAAAGTTCGCTATTAACGCTTCGAATGGGTTCATGTTTAGGGGATATAAGCCTTATTTATTCACTGGATAGTCAAGTTCAGGTTAAACTTTTATATTAAATTACAAATACAGAGTATTTTAGAGATTCTAGTTTATGATATGATATAAAAATTCTTCTATGGATCTCTCTGTTTTATTACAGGTTGTATCTACATCATATTCAGTAATGTTTTGTTTAAGAAAAGCTGATTTATGGAGAACAGCTGATCGATTAAAATTACTTGATCCATCTGATAGCGTTCACATAGTTGCTAAAGTGTGATAAAATCAATTTAAAATTTAAAAGTATATAATCCTATTTAACATTTACAGAGAAAAATGCGAAATGCAAAGCTACGACATTCGTATAAAACGTTAGAAGCACAAGAAAGGTAAATATCTTGATGTAATTGAAAACAAATTTTTTTAATAATTCATTTTTAATTAAAGTTCTGAGATCCTGACAGTATACGCTCAGAATTTAGGTTTAGCAAGTAGATTGATTGCACAAAAGGAAGCGTTTGAAGACAGATCGATTTTCAATAATCAAGCGACACTCCACGAAAATACCATTCCAAACTTATACATAATCAGTAAAGAAGGTTTAAAGCTTTCCGATCATGACGGTATCTTTATAAAAACTACATTCCCTTGGATTTTAAGACCCAACTCTCAATTTATTTTAATCTGGGAATCGTTTTTCGCCATCGTAGTATCAACGGTGATTATTTATTACCCGTGGACTTTGATGAACAAATCCGAAATCACTCAAGCTGACTTTGTGTTTAGATGCTTGGTCTGTTTAATTTATACACTTGATTTTATTATAAGACACTTTACCGCTATCGAAGATGAAAGAACTATTTACACGGATTTACAAGAATTATTACCAAGACATTTTTCAAGATATTCTTTTATTTTTGCTGCCGTTTCAGCGATTCCTTTTGAATTTACCACGCAGCATACCTTTTTAATGCTGAATAGGTTGTTTCAAATTTATCGCGTAGTTGTTTTCATCAAGAAAACTGAAAATAGTTTTAAAGTAAACGTCGCTTTAATCAGAATGATTAAGTACGTTGTTTATCTTTTATGTGTCTCTTACGCCGTTGGTGTTGTTTATTATTTAAGTGCTTGCCAAAACCAGTAAGTTATAACAATTATTTCCTAAAACTAGAAACATGCGGGTTTAGCAGTCTTGCATGCGTTTCTAATTTTAGGTTTTAATTCAACTATTAATCTTTTGTCTTTTTAGATGTTCTCCAGATTCTTGGCCTGTACTTTACGGTTTAGGTTTAGATAACGAAACAACAAGAACCGACATTTTTGAAACGGCTATTATAACCGCAATGTTATTAACATCGGGAACAGGAGGAAAAATAATGTACAGAAGATTAATCGAAGTGTTTCTGATCACGATGTTTTGCGTAATCGGAACGTTAGTCTTCAGCTACTTAGTTTCTGATTATTCGGCAACATTAACTTTAGCTGGAATGTCGCAATCGGTGTACATTCAAATGGTGGAAGTGATCAGAAACTTTATGAACGAGAAATCAATGCCCGACGGAATTCGGAAACGAATGGATCATTACTTGGAAGTTCAATGGTTACACAATAAAGGAATCCCCATTCATGAGTTATTGAAGGACGCTCCTCGGTATTTATATGAGGAATATCAAACGGCTAAATATTCGGCATTATTTGCCAAAGTTCCATTGTTTCAAGTAAGATTGTTTCTATCGTAGATATAATGTTTAATGCATTTTTTTAAGGAATTGGATGACGATGTAATGAACAAATTAACAGCAACTTCCAAAACATTATTTTTCCCCCCAAATGAATTTGTTACATATTCAAGAGAAATCATCAAGGAAATGTATATAATTGAAAAAGGATTTTGTGAGGTGAGAAATTTTCGTTGAAAGCTTCGATGTTAATCAATTCATTTTCAAGTTTGTCAGAAACACGGTGGCAGGTTGCGGTGTAGCTATTAATGCTTCGCAAACTTTTAATCTGTTTAACTTGTCCGTGCCATTTAGGTGTTGTGTCAGAATTTCTCTCTTTTAGTTTACACTCTCCGGTTTTTAATCGGTAAACGTTGTATCAATCAAAACAATTTAATCAATATATATAAATTAAAACGTTGAAATGGGAAAATTAAAAATATAAAGCAACTATATAATTTTGAAAACGTTGTAGTCAATTTATCTATTAATTTAAAATAGATAGTAATTATAGCGTGCGATTTCCAGGAAAGCGATTGAATGTTTAATTGGTATGCTAGAATTTCAATTTAATGCCCAATATAACTGAAAATACCATCAACACAACTTTTATTTTAACCGAAATATTTTTACTACTATATTATAACGGTATTGCATTATTTCAAAAACTATTTTTAAAAATAATTCCCATCCATTAGGACTATATTTTAATAAATTCATAAGCTTACTAATTTATACAACCACAAATATCATTTTAAAAATATTTATTTTCGTTTCTCGTGATTTATATAAATTTTATTTGTTTTATTTAGGTTATTTCCCCAGCTTCAGGTAGGATTGAAAAAGTAATAGGGGAAGGTGCCGTTTTTTCAGCTATAGATATGGTCTTAGGTAAGTCGCTTAATAAATTGTATTAAGAAATTATCACAAATGAAAAGCAGATACGTTTTTAAAAACGTAATAAATTGAAACATTATAAATCTTCCAATCCGTTGTTTGTTATCTTTTATGACCTCCGAGAATGATACCAGTTCAAAGGTTAAAAGAAAGATACACCTAGCAAATAGTACGTATCATTTTCTGATTAAGCACTTAATATTGGACTGCATATCAAAAGCTACAAAGCGCCAACTGTAGCAGTCATAGAGGGATGAGAGGCTACTCGGTACTTTTGAGAGGAAAATACTACGCTATATATACAGTGGAATGTTGGAAAATGGAGAGTGACGCAGAAAACAAAATATAGAGTGATACCTGGACCAGGTGGAATACGACACCAAAACCCTTGGCATCATCAATTAGAGAAGGATATCTTGTTACAGATAGAAATTGCGGAAGATGCAGGAACAGGCCGAGACCCACAGAGAAATTCTGCCCAGTCTCTTTTGTCTATTTCCAGTCTCGTTCCAGACTTTCACTGTTTCACAGAGCCTCTTTCATCTTTTATCGGTCCCTTTTCAGTCCCATCCTTTTAGCCGAGTATATTTTTCTCCTTTCAGCTTCTGTTCAGTATCTTTTTTCTTTTACGAATTCCTTTATTCTCTTTTCAGCCTCTCTCCAGTCTCCTTTGCTATTACCAGCCATATTGCAGCCTTACACATCCTTGCCTACTATTTTTTTTTCTGATAATACCATTTTTTCAGACGTACGTATTTTTGCAGAATCTCTTCTTCCGTTTCCAGCTTCTGATCGGTCCTACAAACTTTGTTCTTGAGATGATCATTAAAATAATGATAACATTATAATATTAATGTTATCACATAATATATAAAATACTGGTATAGTAGACGCCAGGAGAGCTGGCAGTAAATCATCGTGTTCCCCTCTTACAAATGCCATACGTAGCTCACAAACCGCTAGAGAGTAATGTGTGTTAGAAAGAGATAGCACTAGTTTAATATGACTGCTGTACAGGTGTCCCAATTTCGATGTCCGCATAGGCTATCTCCGAAACTACAAGAGATAGAAAAAAAGTAGCTTACATGTCATGATCTCGTTTTTCGAGAAAATGCTAATGCCGAAAACTCCGAATAGGCAAAAACTGAAAATTTTGTGAAAACGACAATCGCGAATATCTCACTTATTATCAAAGATGGAGTATTATAAATTAAACATTATATGGGCAACTTTTTACGAAGAATTCAGTGGCGTAGGTAGAATTTTTTTCCCATCTTTTACTTTCGAGATTTTAGAAGTAACTTTATTTTTTTAAATGGAAACCATAGTTGGCTATGACCTAAAATAATTTGTTATTTTCTTCTGATAACAAATATATATAGTTTGTGGGGTATATTTCTTATAGTTATTGAATAATTAACAAAAATTCATTTTGTTCCATCTAAATCTAATGTATGTATTTAAAAGTTAATGTTGCTATGGTGATAACCATACATACTATGATGGAATATAATGTATCAGTTTTTTTTGTTCTTTCTAAAACTATTGTATATATTTAAAACTTAATGTTGTTATGGTGACAACCATACCATGATGGAAAACATTGGGTAAGTTCAGCAGGTGTCAACAGTTGAATTAAATCAGTCAGCTAGTTGTATGAGCTTTAATACAGCGGAACGAAATCGGCTGAACAAGCAATTGAGAATTAGCAGTTCAGCATAACCTAAAACTATGGCCAACAATAATATTTTTGAAAATTTTGTGTTATTACAAGAGATAATGGATGATGATGTTGATTTTAAGGCTCATTTCATTTTATACAGTTCTGCCAGTTTTCAAAATTAAAGGGGAGAAACAAAAAATATTAATCCTAACCTAGAATTTCACAACCGCTGACAAACTAAGCGCAGATTACTTACGTTGAGATATTTACTAAACTGCTGCGTAACAGCGCTGACTTAGCATATCGTTCAGCCGCGCCTGCTAATATAGCAACTCAACAGTTGACACCGGCTGAACGTGCCCGTTGTTTCCAATTATTGCCAAAGGTTGTACCTAGTAGTATTTAAAAATTCACTAACAACTCTGGCATTATGTGCTGGTGCTCCGTCATATTGAAAATATATCATTTGAGACTTATTTAATGGCAAATTGTCGACCAAAGGCACGATGTGCTGCCTTGACATATTGGGGTATTACCTGAGTTTAAGTTTTTATGGTAGATACTATATGCCAACATTTTATTATCTAAAAGGGCACACCATACATTGAACCCCAACCTTCTTTGAACAGTCAGAGACTTCATTGGTCCAGATGACATTTTGAACAAACAGCAGATTATTTAATTTTTCTAAATATCATCTACAAAATTCTAATCTTAGATTGACATCTCCGGCGCGTAAATAATGAATTAGCCCCGCTTTGTATGGTTTATACATATTTTTCTTTCATATTCGGGAGCAGCAGCTTTTGGGTCAGATGTCTTGTTCAATTTCTCTGCAAGATGTTGATGGATTTATCGCAAGTGAAGCCAACACATTGACTTCATCCTCTTGCAGGCCATTTTGGTGTGTTTTAGCACGTGGTTTGGGGAAGGACCAAAAATCTATTAAATTTTCTGCTAACCGGCTGAAGGTTCTTACGTGCGGTTGCCTTTCTTCCGGATACCTTGTGAAATATAATTCCGCGGCTAACGTCGCATTCTTATCTGATAATATACAGCGTGTCCCGTATCTTCCGCATCAGAGCATTATACGGTTGTAGGATACATTATTCTGGAGCGATCTTTCTAAGAAAACATTTTCGGCTTGTGAAAACACTAACAGATTCATGACAACGCTCACAAGACGTTTCGATTTGAGGTTATAATTATAGAGTGACATCCCTTAGAGGAACAGACGTACTTTTTCGACGTGGACATTTGAATTGTACAGGGTGTCCCAATTTCGATGTCCGCATAGGCTATCTCCAAAACTAAAATCATTAAATATCTTTGACAATATTTGACATATAACCTCCATTACTAACATAACCTACATTTAAATGTATGTGGTGAAATAATCTAAGTCGTACGTCCATATCTTGATTCATACCATTTTTAAGCGATCTGTCACTGCCATCTCTCGTGGTTTCTACTATATCTGCTTTTCATTAATAAATACTTAAATTACTTCGGATTTCTTTCAATAATTTTTTTAAATTACTCCCATAGAACTACCAGGTGTATTCCATGTACGCACCGTAACTCACGTTAGTGTAATAAAGATCACTTTAGCATGTATTAAAAATGCTCTCACCCCCGAAGGAAAGATCATACTTCAGACGCTTGTTGATGAAACTAAAACATCTTTCGTACGAGATTTAGTTTTAAATTAATATTCGCTGTGAATTAAAAGAAAATATTGTTTTTAGACGGTTCAACGATTATTCACCGAGAGTACTTCCAGGATGATCCACAAGGATGTCGAGGTCGACGATAGGTCTTGGGTTGCTCCGCCTAAACGGGCAGATCCAAGGCGAGTCGAATACATGAACTCATGGAAAGTATTTCGCTGTTGCAGGTACTGTACTTGAACCACCATACCTTTTTAGTACAAGGGGTTATTGCCGGTTGTAATTATAACGCTCGTGTTCTCTTTGTTACTCCCTTCCTCATGCTGTATTTCGAAATTTATTATTACGCGAAATAATGAGGCACATAGTACTGCACTAGTTTCGGTGGCTTGCATTAATTTACGATCGTTAATGTTCGTCGAAGTAAAAATTTTAATGCAACACTTAATATGTGTACTGGCACAGGTAGATATTATTTAACATAAGAACACGACGACGTGAAAATGGTTTGTTCTGAATTAATTAACTTTAAAGTTACATTTTTATTCAAGTAACAACTTAAAACTTAAATGAAATCGTTTCTAGGAGTTAAATTTATGTTTCTTTAAGGTCCATTACTACCATCTTTTAGTTAAATTTATCTTATAGATAAACCCATCTACTAGCCAATCAGAGTGCGTAAAATAGCCGTAACCGTGGTAATAATCCCTTAGATAGCTTAACCAGAAGATGGTAGTAACGAGCCTAAGGCCCACTACTACCACTCATAGTTAAAGTCTCTGATAGCGTTATCTATCGGATAGCTTAAAAATTGGTTACTACCACTGTATTTATCTTATAGATACCGCTATCCAAGGGATAACTTTTGAAATATCTGTAACCCGTGGATTGGGTGTCGGATAAGTTGCTATCTAAGGGATAACTGCGGATACCTAACCTCAAATAGGATTTATACTGATATATATTTCCTGTAAGAAGCGAAAGGATAATAAGAAATAGAGTTGAGATTTCGTGTCTCGAAAAAAAGTTTTCATCACCTTTTGAATCAAAGAGAAGATGTAATAAAACCTCCATCCATGACGTAAGCAATTTGTTGATTCCTATTATTTAATGTAAAATTCATCAAAATTTTAGTAATAATGCTGTACAGTCGTGTTCACGGGAAATGCGCACTCAAGGTCAAGCGCTGTTGTGAGATATGCCGCTGGCTAACCTGGACCACCACAAGTCCCTTCTCCACGAGCTTCGTGTGCTCGGTTCAGCCCGTTTAGGCAGCGGCATGTCGGATCTCACAACAGCGCTTGACCTTGAGTGCGCATTTCCAGTGAACATGACTGTACCTCCTTCAAACCGTTTGTTGCTGACTCTTCGGTTTTATGCAATAGGTAACATATTGCTATCCATAGCAGATTTTGCAGGAATGAGTGTACAATTGGCATTTTCAGTCGTTTATCATGTTAGTTGTGCCATTATTGTTTACCATCACATTTTAACATACAATAATACGAGATACACATACTTGTTGCTTTCCTTGCCATGTAACTGCATCACTTTTTTTGTTTTCTATTACGTTTTTATAGTTGATAACAAATTCAAGAAGATGTTCGTATTCTTCTTTGGTGAAATTGGTGGTTCGTCGCCTTTTCTCAGTCTCCATTTCCAAATTTTAATGTTAAGGTTAGAACAGGTCAAAATACTTAATAGTAGATCTTTTAATCACATAGAGCTATCAATTTAACATAATAGACCAAAAAATCCCTAGATTCCTTGGTTATCTCAAGGATTTCTTAACTATGAGATAAATGGAGGTGGTAGTACGCACGACCCTATTATCTACGAGATTAATTGTATCTTATAGATAGCTTAACTAACAGATAGCATTGGTTTGGTAGTAACGGGCCTAAGGCCCACTTTTACTATCTTCCTGATAAACTATCTAGAAGATAGTTGCCATGGTTACGGCGGTTTTAAGCGCTCTCATTGACTAAGGTCCATTACTACCATCTTTTAGATAAATTTATCTTATAGATAAACCCATCTACTAGCCAATCAGAGTGCGTAAAATAGCCGTAACCACGGTAATGAACCTTAGGCTCGTTACTACCATCTTCTGGTTAAGCTATCTAAGGGATTATACGGCTATTTTACGCGCTCTGGTTGGCTCTGAATCGGTTTATTTATAAGATAAGTTTAACTAAAAGATGGTAGTAATGGACCTAAAAGCTGGATTTATCTATCGGATAAATTTATCAAGAGGTGGTAAAAGTGGGCCTAAGTGGTTCAAAACGAACTATAAATTAGTACTAACAAACTACTAGTTTCTTATTCTATTTATAATAGCTTTGGAAAAAAAATATTTGTAGCCTTGCAACAGACATCAACTTTTATAATTACCTTAAATTTAATTACCTTACGCTTAGGGCCGGTTTATCAATATCTAGTTAAGACGATTTATCTGTCAATTAAAATTGTAGATGATAGATAACCTCGACGAATCGTTTATCCACCCGTAGTTTAGGGTAATCTTATAGATAAATATGACATTTGGTTACCCACCAGATTGATGTACTGGTTTAGGGTTTACCTATTAGATATTGTCAAAAAAATGTGAGCACAAGTTTGGTTGCTTGGTGAAAGGAAATGACAATAAAATCAAAATATAACGTCAAAAATAAATTAAGCTTATAATTGTGGTGAGTGATACGCAAGAGAAAGAAAAGATCATGAAATGTTAGTACAGCAGAAAAGAACTTGCTGATGGATTTGGCAAACGAATATAAAAATGTTATACAAAATAAATAATAATCTAGTAATTAAAAAAAAAAATAATATAATCTATAATCTAATATAGTATAATCTCGTCTTAATTTTAACCAAGATTGACAAAACTGTGTCGTCCACCTCCTCAAAGTGGTTTAGACTTTCTTTTATAATATATAGTCGTTGTTTATAATTTAAGAGTTGGACAATATCCTCATCTTTATCGCTGTCTAATAAATATTCATGTAGGAATTCGATTATAAAAGAAGTTTTCGAAAACAAAGCACAATACCGAAAGCACACAGGAATGATAACCTCCAAAACACGATCAGCTGTTTATATCAACTTCATAAACTAAAGTCAATTATTCAAATTTCACCAATTACGTTTCATTTCCGTTTCTAATGTTAACACTCAGGGGTTAGATGGTACCCCTGATATGTTCTATCTCGTAGGTTACTGCCTGTCGGGTAGAAAGTTGCTGGATAAACGGTTCACTGAGGTTATCTGTTAGGCAAGTTTATCCATGAGTTGCGTATCTAACAGATTTAACTCGACATTGATAAACCGGCCCTAAGGCTCGTTACTAGCATCTTCTAGCTAAGCTATCTAAGGGATTATTACTACGGTTACGGCTATTTTATGCGTTCTGATTGGCTAATAGATGGGTTTATCTATAAGATAAATTTAACTAAAAGATGGTAGTAATGGACCTAAGGCCCACTTTTACCATCCTCCTGATAAACTATCTAGAAGATAGTTGCCATGGTTAACCAGAAACCATAGCTTAACCAGAAGATGGTAGTAACGAGCCTAAGAGCTGGATTTATCTATCGGATAAATTTATCAAGAGGTGGTAAAAGTGGGCCTAAGTGTTTCAAAACGAACTATAAATTAATACTAACAAACTACTAGTTTCTTATTCTATTTATAGTAGCTTTGGAAAGAAAATATTTGTAGCGTTGCAGCAGACATCAACTTTTATAATTACCTTAAACTTAATTACCTTACACTTAAACATATTAGTTACATTACAGACATAATTTTTTGTTTATAATTATGTACTAATCATACGTATATAGATACAATAACATCCTAAACAAAGTCCTCTGTAATTTGCCAAACAGATTATCGCTTGTGTCCACATAATAGCGACCCGAAATCCTACTAATCTGAGCAAATTTACCGAGTTCGTAAACTGCCATTCAATCTACCGAATTTCGTTTTAGATAATTCCGCGATATCGTGTGCTTTGAGATTTATTAATATCTAATGTACAAACAATAATAGTAGAACAACAATGTTGGTACAAAACTTGTAATAATACCGAACGAAAACTTCACTTCAACACGTAAAGTACTCTAGTTTCTATTTACTTGACTTCAATCATTAACTTCTCCGGTAACAGTCGGAAATAGTTACTGGATTTAAATTAATTATTTCCGCCGAGAACTTTAGTTCTCCACTTAGTATTTTCGCTTTAGTTAAAAGTTTAACAAACATTACACTAGGTTCTAAAGCGTTTGCGAACTTCCATCGAACAGAAAGCGGAGCATATTTCGCTCGTTAAACGCTTCCTAACGTCGAAAATGCGCTCGAACTGGGTCGCTTCAAAAACTTATAACTACGATTTATATTTCGTAAAATCACCAATTTTTTTTTATATCCATAATCGTGGCGTGTATTGGAATCAAACCATAAAAGATGTATTTGTGACCTTATCTTCGGACATTATTTTTTTAGATTGTGATAAATTTTATATTTTCAGATATTTTATGATCCCTTATACCATTATGCCTTGTGGACGGTTTTTAATGTATTACGAGATATTTAGAGCCGTTTGTGCTTCTATTTCTGCTGCATTATTACCTACAAGCTTTATTTATGCTTATTATATAAAAGAATTTTGGATCATTCAAGCTATATTGGATCTAACAGCATATCTTGATATGTAAGTGATGTTAACACAAAATTATTAAATTTTGATAACTATTTGGATTAGATATCTGAGATTACATGTATGTTTCTACAACGATAAAGGAGTTTTGGTGACGCATCCAAGAGCTACCGCTATGCATTACTTAGGAGGAAGCTTTATAGTTGATTTAGTAGCTTGTTTGCCTGTTGATTATTTCTTAACGTTTTTTTGGAAGAAAAATTTTGCAAGTTCAGCTGCTTACGAGAAAATGTGCGCAATTTTAAGACTTAATAGAAGTCTTCAAATTTATAGAGTTCCCGATGCATTTTCGTTTGTCTCAAAGGATATTATGAAATCAATTGGAACTTTAACGTAAATTAATAATATACAGTATCCGTAGTAATATATTTAAAAATTTTTTTAGCCTTTCATTCGAATTAGTAACTTTAAGTTGCGCATTAATAAATTTCCTTTGTGGAATATTTATGGTGAGTACATTTACCTTGACTACATACACAGAAGCTATTGTTCCGGAAGAATTTGGTTGGTTTACAAACGTTACATACTGTAAATAACAAAAAGTATACATAACGAATTAACTAACTTATTTTTTATTAAACAGCTACTATTGATATGACTTCCCCCTTCGTAATGTACTTAATATCATTCTATTTTGTATGCTCGCAAGCTATTGGAATGGGATATGCCGATATGTTCGTTAGAGTTAGATCAGAAGTGATACTAAATATAATTCTGATAATATGTGGTTACTTATGGTTCACCTACGTGTTAGTTATTATATCGAATAATAAATCGATAGTAAACATAACACTTACTTTATATCAGAATCACATGAAACAACTTATTAAGTTTATGAAACGCGAGAAGATTGCGAAAAGTTTACAAAAGAAGGCTATTAATCATTTTGAATACGTTTGGCAACGGACTCACGGTTTAAACGCTAGCAGCATTCTTAAACAATGCCATTTGGCGTTAAGTAAAGATTGTGCTTTACACCTTTACGAAGATACTTTAAAGGAGGTATTAATATTTCGAGATATGGTAACGTCTTTTTATCGAGTTATCGGTACAAATTTGGAAGAACAATATTACTTAGCTGAATATCCAATAATAAGATTGAATGATATCGTCAGTAAGATTTATATTGTTCATAGGGGTATAATTATGATTTATGGACCGGATGGAACACGATATGCTATGTTAAGAAAAGGAGGGTAAATATAATATTCATAATTTTTTTCATTTTCGTTTATGATACCCTAATACTGCAATTTCAGGAATTTACCACGAACTTCTTCCTCCATTTCCATACCCTCGGCTCCTCGGCCCAATCCTCCCCTCATCCATCCCTTTGTCTCCTCACCCCCACAACCATTGTCATCCATCGTTTCCCCTCTCCCCCCTCTCCTAAGATCTGCCCTCGGTCCAACTCCTCCTCCCTCAACTCACTGCACCCATTCAACATATGTTCCAACGTTTCCCATTCCTCCCTGCATAGCCTACACCACCTCTCCTCATCGGCCATCCAGTATCTGTTAGCTCTCTCCTCGTTTCCACAACGGAACCTAGCCACCAACTTCTTCCCTTCCTCATCTCCTTCCAATAACAAGTATCTAGGCAGCCCCTCCGTAATTATGTCCCTGTACCTTTCGTTATACCTCCCCTCTTTTATTTGTGTCCTTCTTTCCTGTCTCTGCACATCTCGGTCCCTATCTCTCAACTCCCTCCACATCTCCCTACCCACCCTTCGTCTACTATTTATCTCAGTTACCGAGTAGCCCGCTCGTCTATAATAGTTGTCTCTGTCTCCTTTCCCATATCTGATCTTTCCCTCTCTAATTTCCCTCCAACACTCCCCCAAGATCCCGCAGTTTGGCCTCCCTTCTATTCTTTCTTCATATTTCACTGCTCTCCTGCCCGCCTCCACTCTGACCTTATCCACCTTTACCTCTTCCCTCACTATATACCCCGGTGTTTCTCTCGCCACCCCAAGCACCCATCTCCAGTATCTAGCTTGCACGTCCTCCAGCATTGCCTGCTCTCTCCATCCCCATACCTCTGCTCCATACATCATCACACTGCTAACCAGACCTTCAAACATAATCTTCCTCGCTGCCACATTCCTTCCAAAGACTCTCTTCCCCCAACCCCATACTTGTCCCATCACCTTATTCGCCTTTTTTGCCATAGCTATCACATGCGACCCCTCCCTGTTGTCCTCCCTGAACACATACCCCAAGTAAGTATACTCCCTAACCTCCTCGATCTCTTTTCCCTCCCATCTCCAGTTTTCTGTTCTTTTTCTCCCACCCTTACAAAACTTCATCATCCTTGTCTTCCCCACATTCACTTCCAGCCCCTTCCCCCTAAAATATCTTTCCAATGTCTTTATCATATCTTTCATCTCCGCCGCTTCTCTCGCCATGACCACGATGTCATCCGCGTATGCTAACATATGCACCTTTCTACCTCCCACCACCAACCCTCCCATTTGCCCCTTCCCCAATCTATCCTCCAGGTCCGCCGTATACAGTGCAAACAGACTTGGGCTCAGCGGACATCCCTGCCTCAGTCCCTTCGTCGTCCAGAACACGTCGCTCAGCTTATCTCCCACTTTTATCCTAGCCATAGTCTCCATGTATATTTCCTTCACTCTCGCAATTAGGTGTTCCGTGATCCCCCTCCTCCCCATCTCCTCCCACAACTTTCCCCTATCCACCTTATCAAAAGCCGCCTTCAAATCTATAAACAGGGCGTACAATTTCCCTCCCTTCTTATCCAGCTCTCTATCTGCCAGATGCTTCAACACGTACACGTTGTCGATTGCTCCCCTTCCCTTCCGAAAGCCTGCCTGCCCATCCGGCAAAATTCCCCCCAACTCCATCTCCTCCTCCAGTCTTCCCAGCAGTATCTTCGTGTATACCTTGTATGCCGAGTCTAGTAGGTTAATTCCTCTGTAGCTCTCTACCCTTCCCTTATTACCCTTTTTATATACTGGGCAAATTACCCCCACTTTCCATCCCTCCGGAAACCCACCCCCTCTCCATACGCTATTCATCCCCTCCAACAACTTCACTCTCACCACCCTTGATGCTTCCAACCATGCCTCGTTCTGGATCCCATCTTCCCCTGGCGCCTTTCCCTTCTTCAATCCCCTAAGCACTGCTTCCATCTCCTCTTCTGCTATCTCCTCTCCCCCATCTCCCTCATAGCCTCCCAAACCCGTTAGCCTCGTTTCAACCCCTCCCAATAATCCCATAAAGTAACTCTTCCAATCTGTCATGTGTATTTCGCTGGTTATCCTCTCCCTACCCTTCTTTCTCTTTTTCAGATACCTCCAGACCTCCCCTTCCCTTGTTATCCTTCTAATCTCTGCCGCCTCCTTCTCCCTCAGTTCTGTTTTCTTTCTACTGCATAACTCTCTGTATCCTCTCCTGGCCTCCCTATATCTATCCACCCCTATCTTCCCCCGTCTCCACTGCCTCAACCTCCTTCTCGCCTCCCTCTTCGCCTTCTTGCACTCGCCATCACACCAGTCGTTCCTCCCTACTCTGCCCCCCCTACGTACACACTCCCTTTTCAGTGTTGCCTCCCGCACTACCTGGATAAGTTCTTCCAAACCATTGATCTCTTGTATCTTCTGTTGCTAAGTGTCTAGGTTTCCCCTACCCCTTCTTCCAACCAGTCTGTCCTGATGAACGTGCTCCCCATTTCCGCTCGCCTTCTGCCGTCCACCCCCTTTACCTCCACCTCCAACGGTTGGTGATCCGACTCTACCGCTTCTCCCACTTTAAACCATTCCACCCTCTCCCACATTTCCTGATCCACCAGTACATAATCAATCACTTTGATTATGATCAAAGTGATTGATGACCATAATCAATGGCTTTAATGTAAATAATTATTAACTAAAAACTTTTCTTTTTAGAGTTTTTGGAAATATTGATGAAGTATCGCAAACAAGAAGTATGATAGTCGCAAAAGCTGCAACAATCGTTGATTTATTAGTTATTGACACACAAGCTTTATATCCACTGATAAAAACATACCAAGTTGTTGTAAATAGATTAAAAAAACATATCTTATTAGAGAATTTGGTAAATATTTTAATTAATTGTGCTTTTTATGATACATTTTTTATTGTAGTCCTACATAGAAAGTAATTACGATGGGGACGATGACGAAGCGCTTGATATTTATTATTTAGCGGGGAGAAAGAACTTACCTAAAAAGCTTAAAATTCTCTCATCGAGTTATTTAGCTGTAACATTTATGATGTGTTCGTTTATATCATTTTTAATAACAACGTATCAAGCGGCTTTTAAAAACTTTTCAATTCCATTTTTTACGATTGCTTATTTTTTCGATATCGTACACATTGTGAAAATTTATTTGGGGTTTATAACGCCGTATAGAGATCAACATTGGGGAGAAATTATTGTTGCTAAGAAAAAAATAATTAAAGAGTATGTTAAAGAATTTTTTTTGAATTTATTTAAATACTAGCTTTTATTTTTAGCTACTTGAGATTCAATAAGTTTGTTATGGACTTGGCTGGTTCTCTTCCAACCGATTTCCTTTATTTTGCGATGCCTCAATTTGGATTATATGGAATAACTTTATTGCGTTTGAACAGGATTCTTAGACTGGTAACTTTTAAATAACGTTAAGTAATCAAAATTAAATATATTTTTTGTAGGTGGATGTTTACAATTACTTTAACATAAAACATGACCAATTAAACATAAACGTTCTCGTCATCAAATTATCTTCAATATTCATTTCTTTCACTTTACTCATTCATGTACAAGGTTGTATTTGGTACATGTTGGCTTGCCCATTTACTACGGGTTGCATAAAAGGATCTTGGGTTGTTCAGGATGATAAAAATTTTTGTCGAAACGCTTATTTATGCTCTGTGTATACCGCAACATCGATTGCAACTTACACTGGATTTTCACCACCTCGTGCTTCAACATTAATTGAAATTATGTATGCCACTATAGCGATGATTTTTAATAAATTTACATTAGCAGTATTTATTGGATATATGACTGCTATTGTTCACAATCTAAACGCAACTTTAGTTGAATTTGATCATGGGATGGAAAAATTGAAAGAATTTTTGAAGCATAGCAGGACCTCGTTTCCTTTAGTACAAAAAGTGCTTACTTATTCTTCTCAATTATGGGAGAAAAGTGAAGGGATGCAAATACCGCAATATTTAACGGCTTGTCCGAGTTTCTTAATGGAAAGTATCAAAATTGATGCGTTCGGACATCACATTTATGAGGTAAAAAATTTCTAAACAAAAATATTTGTAATTGTTGTTTTCTTTTCTTAACATCGTGTATATATATTGTATGTGAAGGTTGAATTATTTTGTACTTCATCGATGTTATATGTTTATTTCATTCTCTACATGTTTCGAGGATACGAGTCCTCATCATCAGGAAGAATTCGTTATTCTTATAAATATAAATTTCACCATGTTTTATTTCTGCTATTTGTAATTACTGATGGTTTCTGATTACTTCTGCAATTCTTGATGTTTTCTTGTTGTTGTAGCGTGCTTATCTTGGTAATGGAGGATTGTGTGACACAATCATTCTCTACATGTTTCGAGGATACGAGTCCTCATCATCAGGAAGAATTCGTTAATCTTATAAATATAAATTTCACCATGTTTTATTTCTGCTATTTGTAATTACTGATGGTTTCTGATTACTTCTGCAATTCTGGATGTTTTCTTGTTGTTGTAGCGTGCTTAT